GCGTATGCGGGTACCACGCGGGTCTTGTCGCCCATTTTGGGGATTGGGGGCGGTACGTCCATGTAGATTAAGTTCCCAAAATTTCAGCTCCGCAGCTTTCATAGGCCCTGAGATGAAAGTGCGTGACAGACGCACACACAGACACACGGACACAGACAACCTCTCGTCAATATGCGTTTTTCGCATTGTACTGCTGCAAAAAACGCATAAAAATATTGAGCAGCTAACTGGGACTACCAGAAAAAAAATTTTTTTGCTCTATGGAACATCTGCGCAAAATCAAAATTCTTCGCGCAACTGGTGGTTTTTGGCCAGCTTGAAGTGCATCTCCCTTCGTGAGTTCATTTAACAGATCTTACAGCGCGTTGGATTATCCGTGACCAGTTCAACTTCGTATGTGAAAATGAGCATCTGGGGTATGTCACCGTCGATACAAGTGCTTACCTTGCCATCCAGCTCCTTGATATTCTCGCTCAGCAGATTTTTTACCCGCGAACGCGAAGCAATCGAACACAAGCTTTGCAGCTCGCGTATGTCCTGAAGTAACTCAGCACGCTCTTCCATCCCTCAGATTCCGCAGCCTGCTTAAAAAATTCACAAACAACAACTTAACCACACACTCAAGCGATAATGCACACAGAATTAGCATGCACATCCTTCCACGACCAGTGCAAAAGCTGACCGACCGAACGCAGATACCAGAAATGCGCGTCCTGGTCACCAGCGATAACGAGCGATTATAGCGCCCGAACTTCCCCATATACATTGGAAAAAAAACCCCCAAAGAGGTGCTAAAACCCACAGAGGGCTAAGAACAGCACAGTGCCAAAGTGAAGAGGATTTCTGGATGTAAACCACTGGACAGGCCCTTTTCCTGGATGTAAACCCCTGACCGGGCAGTGCTGCAATGACCCATCTCAAACGCAAATACGAAGAAACGGTGTGGTCGCGTCCCGAGAGCACAACTCCAAAGCGGACCAGGAGGAGTTGTTGTTCCCGCCCCTGTTTCCAGTTCCTATCTCCAAACAACCTTCTGGCTCCCTTCCAATCAAAAACCCCGCCCCTCCCTTCCACTATGACCCCCCTCTCCTCCACTATGGTCCTCCCCCCC